TGTAGGGCTGAGCTCAGCTTGCGGGACGCGGCCATACAGGACTTGCAACGTGGTCTCGCCCTCAAGGCTACGGAGGTGATAATTTCGTGGCGAGTGACGCTTTAGGTCTCCAACTCCTACGCAGGTGAAGCGTCTTGAGAATGAGCGCGACTCGTTGGTGGAGGAGCTCGGGAAGGAACGGGCTGCTAGGGAAAGGGCAGGGCGAATGGAAACCGAAGCTCAGCGGCAACTAGAAGAATTCAAATTAGATTATGGTAAACCGGAGTGACTGAGCCGAACGGTATTCGAACTGTTTTCAGAAATGTCGCAAACCTCCCTGCAGGCCCGGGTCCAATCTTTGGCGGAGTCGTTGAGAGCCTCTGAAGAGAAGTGTGCTGAGCTGGAGAGCTGCGGTATGCGGTACAAGGCAGTTGAAGACGAAGTAAAGAGGCTTAGAAAAGAACTCGAGGTGCGGTATGGACAACGATGGAGGGAGTGGTGATGGTGGTGGTGCTTTAGGAAGCTCGAGAGGTCTCCTCAGCTTCGGCGGCCAGTCTGCATAAGCTCGCTGCGGAGATGAGCTCGCAGGCTGAGACATTAGCCCAGGCTCAAGTGAGTGGAGGGTTTGCTGTGGGCATGTGGTTGTTGGTGTGAACCAAACCCTTTTGCGAAGTGATATTTTCAACACCTTCGAAAATCTACTTTGAGTAATGTCAACATGATAACAACGTGAATCGATTAAAATCACTTCAGAAGCGTTCCGTAGTCTTTATTCGTACTCTCGCATGAGAAAGCCATCTTTAAAATCTAGATATGCATAACTGTTTCCTTCGCACTGTAGAGTGAGCGCGACCTGGCTCGTCGGGATCGGGATGCAATAGAAAGGCAGATGAAGCACCTCGAGATGGAGTGTGAGAGGAAAGACAGGTCGCAGTGAAATTTGGAATAGCAGCTTTGTAAGGGATATGTGTCAGGGACTTGGAGGCTGCGGAGGCGAAGTTGAGCGTGGTGAAAGCCAGAAAAAGGGAGCTGGCCGCTGCGAACGAGAGGTGGGCTCTAAAAGGCGCTATGGACGAGTCGTTGCTACTAGGGACAGTGCTACGACAGTTGCTGAGGCTCAGAGGAGGGTGGATGCCGAGATTGCGCGGCTGACTGAGAAGCAGGAGGGGGAGGTCAGTCAGATCAGTGTGGGGGAATATATGCACATGGTCAACTACATGTGTTGGCAAATTTTGGGAAATTATCGTTGGTTTTCGTAGACTTCTACCCAAAGTCCTGCGTGGATTTCCATAATGTAGCGAGGAAACTTACACGAGCTCAGTTGAGGAAACCAATCATATATTCCAAGACTGGGTTGGGAGGGGACTGATCATACTGGTCCTCCAGTTGCAGTGCAGGTTTTAGCGGTCAACAGCGGCTTGTGGACTCCACTCTAGGGAGATCGAGGGGCTCAGGGTAGGGTGCATCGCGGCGTTGTATGTGTGAATCGGTGTGAACTGGG